TCTTTATATTTTGCAGATGTTTCTCCTACGCACGTGATCAAGAAATTACAACCAAAGGAGTATAGTAATACAGGAGAAGTATTCCAGGCAATGATGTTGGAAGGGCACAAAGGCCACGAAATCAAAGATTTTTGCTTCAGGGAAATCCAGAAAAATGTGCATGACTTTGAGTGGCCATGGAGAGACGATGAAATAAATTACAGAGACATGCCTGTAACCCGTAAATACAGTCTCACTGATAGAAGAGATCAATCTGGTATGAGGGATGCAGGAAACAAGCCTGTTGTAAATAGGCCTGGATTAAGTTTTCAGGATAAACTGCACGTTTCATTGAAATTTTTTTTGTTTTATTTATTTTGAGACAGAGAAGGAGAGAGAGAATCCCAAGCAGGCTCTGTGCTGTAGGTGCAGATCCCAACATGGGGCTCGATCTCAAGAACCATGAGATCATGACCTGAGCCGAAGTCAAGAGCCTGACACCTAATCATGTGAGCCAACCAGGTGCCCTTGTCAAGTGGCTTTTGAATATATTTCCCACAAGAAATTCACTTCAAAAATTAAAGGACACAAGGTAAAATCATGGACAAAAGATAAACATAAATGCTATTAAAAATAGGGTAACTATATCAGATCAAAGTTAATTAAAGAGCAAATACTATGACCAGGGATGAGGAAATCTATTTCACAATCATAAAGGGATACATTCAACAAAATAACATGAGAATCCTAAACTATGTACCTGGTAGCAGAACCCCTGAGAAAACAGAGAGGACCGTAATGACAGAACAATCCACAATCACAGAGATCTCCACGCTCCTTCTCTCCATAATAGAACAAGTAGACAAAATCAGTACCTTGGCGACTGCCCCAATTGACATTTACAGAAAACTGTGAGATAAAAGAAAAATTATGTATTGTTCTCTGCGCCTGGCTCCTGCACAGAACTCCTAACGTCCTTGTATTTCCTAAATGACGAGGTTAACAGCAGCATCTTTTGTTATAATGAGTCCACTCCTGTGTGGGCTCCTTGGGTGGGGCTGCTCACCAGAAAGCCCAAGCCATGATTATAAACGGGATTTTGAGCCCTATCCCCTCATCCTCCAGAGAGAGGACCTGGGCTGGAAATGGAGTTAATGACTGGTCATGTGTATATGAGGAAGTCTCCTCAAAAGCCCAATGGCTGGAGGTTCAGAGAGATTTCAGGCTGGTGAACACTGCCACTCCAGGAGGTGACACACCCCAACTCCATAGGGACAGAAGCTTCTGCACTGAGGACCTTCCCAGACCTCATCCCGTGTGTCTCTTCATCTGACTGTCCATCCGTATCCTGTATCATAGCCTGTAATAAACTGGTAAATGTGTTT